TTGGGAATCTCCAAGAGAACCATGAGAGGGAAGGGGTTCTCCAAGAGCTAGGGAAGGATGGTAGGAACCTTCCTAGCAGCAAGGATGCAACCCTCATCATGAGGTCCTTGAGGTGTCACATGCAAAATCCAATCTAGCTGGATTTTGCCTAGGTGTTGCAACATTTGCAACCCATGCTAGAAACTTCTAGCCACCCCAATCCAAAAGTCAAAGTTGCCTTCCCTAACCACCCAAGCAAAGATCCCTTTATAGTCATGTCCCAAGTTATCACCCAAATTAGATATAACCTTAAAAGGTAATAAGAAATCCAAGTCTTGGAAATCTTGTAACTTGGGCGATCTTGGTCGGAATAAGGCGATCTTGGTATCGTTGGAAAGCTCTGGATTTCTCCTGCATGATCAAGCACTTAAACTTGGAGAAAACACAGAGATGATAAAATCCAACAGCCATGCACAATGACAAATGCTCATGCAAACAATGCACGCATGAATAGCACGAGCACTCGGCAGGACGTTAGGATGACATGCACTCAGAATGACGTGCATCCAACATGTTGAAGTTAGACAGCCCAGGGAAGAGAAACGGCAGTGCAAGACGTCCTACGGTGGCAGCAGAGTGGGAGGAGTGGCGTCTAACCACAGCGTCGTAGAGAGCATGGGCCGACGTCACCTGGCAAAAGTGGGCCCTCTGGTCAAGTGGCACGTGAGCGCGGACAGCAAGCTGATCGGTGGCGTCGCGTGCCGTCCACCATGTGTAGGCAACGTGGTCAGCCTGGTACTGCTGTTGCACCTCCTCCCCAGCATTAGTAGCAGGCTCAGCTAGAGTCGCAGGGGCTGTAAGGGACCCCGACGCGTGCTCGAACAGCAATATGTTCTAGTGACACTCTGGAGGTACAGGTGCAGATCCTCTAGTCAGGACACAAACTCTATAGGGTACCCCTCTTCGTCAAACGCTATTACAGTGACGGTCGTCATGGCAGGGGGCGCGGTTTAGTGGCAGCGGGCTGCGCAGTGGGTGGTGCGCCGACGGCAGCGCAGACGGCGCACACTGGCGGCGCCAGGGTAGTAGCAGCGCAAAGGCTGTAGTAGCGCAGCGTGCGCGAAGGGTAGTGCAGGGCGGGCATGAAGGGCAGCAAGGGGTGCGAACGTACGGCAGCGCGGGGGCGCGCACGAAGGGCAGCACGGTGCGCGCGTTTAGGGCAGCGTGGGGCGTGCGCGTAGGCAGCGCACGGCGCGCACGAAGGGCAGTTACAGGCATAGGATCCAGGAACATTCCTAACTTGTCAAAGATGTGAACAACAGAATAGATTGGGTTGACTGGAAGTTAGTACATATGCCTAACCACAAAAGGAGCATACCCCTTAGAGGGTGTCCCACTACAGCCTACAATCATATATATGGTTTTGATCTTCAAGGTTAACCCTAAACTTTAGACACATGAAATACACCTAGACTAGAATTAATCAAACGAGTAATTTATAGTTTGACAAAATAGTGCTTGGTCAATTGCCCGTAACCCCCATATTTCGTTATCAATATTAACGGCAACATCTTTACACGTTGCTTCATAAAAGCTTGCGCAACTTCTCGATATGGCTAGTGAAATCCGCCACTTCACAAGCACTCTCGTTGGCTAGGGTAAATTTCCGTACATCGTTTAAGCATTTAAATGGTGCTGTATTGGTGCGCTTAGCCGCGCATGAAAATATTCCAGTAAAAGAGTGTACAGTTTGGCAAGCCTTGCTCCCCCAATTGCTACACCTCTGACTCCGCCCTTGGGAGAAGGCCCGTTCGCGATAGGGAAGGGCCAACCCCCACCGCCTTTCTCCCACCGTCACTTAGCCATCCTTCTTCTAATTTCCAGCTAGCGCCTGTAGTTCCAGCTGGCTCAGGCAGTCAACCTGCAGAACACAAAACATGTACATCTACACGCACGCATACCAAGCAAAAGCAGCGACATCCAGATATTCCTCCCGTCTGCCCCACCACTTCTTCTCACCCCAATGCCAGCTCGGCTGACCCATCGGCTGCCTTGTTCCCCGCCCTCACCACTCCTCTGTCCCATTTCCTCGTTACCAGTCCCCCTTCACCTATATACAAAATATACAAACCACTTATTCTTCCCTTATCACACGACATCATCCATGGCCTCCGGCGGATCCATGAAGAAGGATAACAACTTCTAGCTATGCGTGTTAGAGGTGGGACAACGAGAGCTTGAGTGAATGAAAAGTGAACTCAGGGTGAGCGAGAGTGGACCTGCTTGTGGTGGTGGGTGGTGAGTTGTGCGAGTTGGCACGAACTCTCGGAGTGATTGTAGCGTTTCCTAGTTCCTAAGCACTTGCACATTCACTGGAGAATTGGGCAAGAGTTTCCATTAGCAAAGTTTGCATTACAGAATAATAGCAATTACAGTGACAACATATGACTACATCAGGCACCTAGCAACTCTGCAGCTAGCCTGGTCGACCGCCAGCACTGCCAAGACAGCAGCTCTATGGCGTGCCAACGCTGCAGCAGAGCGGCTGTCCAACATTGCACCCCTAGATGGCAGCAGTGTGCACACTCGAAGGTGCGCGCAAATGATTGGCCCAACTTGCATCGTTGTGTTTCCGTCGGCCCTGGTCTGTGCCTGACGAGCCACATCAATTTCGGGATACCAGCCCGAAGTCGCCGTCGCCATCGCGACCTCGACGACGTTCGCGTGCCTCCGCAGAACTCACCGAGCAGGTTACTTGGTCGACCTGGTCGACCACCCAGTGCTCTGGTCGACGCCTCCCTCGTCGACCACAGCTCCCATCAAGGATCACCCTGGTCGACGGACCCCTCTGTCGACCAGCTCTGTCAGCTGCTATCGTCGACTGCTGCTTACATGTCCTATACAGGTCGACGGACTACTTCGTCGACCTCCCCGTTGAACTGCTCTTCCTGGTTGACGGCCCGTCCGTCGACCAGCCCAGTCAGCTGCAGCCGTCGAGCTCCCCTGGTCGACGGCTCCAGCCCCGCGTCAGACTTGTGCAGGTCGACGACCACCCAGTTGACCTACCCTGCAGAATAAGGCCGTCGAGCTCCCTGGTTGACGGCAACACCGCAGCGATCCCCTGTAGCTCGACGAGGCCCGTCGAGCAGCTCCCTCACTGCGTACGGTCGCCTGCTTCTCCCGAGCATCCGACTAGGACGTCGGCGTTGCCCAAGCGAGGGCTGGGCCAAACTCTATTCCCGTAAACATCCACCATGTTGCTCACCTGCGACACCGGCCTCGTTACCGCCAGGCAGGCAAACCAGTCTTGATCCTGACGACATTTGAATTGGGGCGTAGAGACACGAGCCATCAAGGCAATGTATAAACTCAATATTACTTCCACTGATTACGGTAGTAATCACGTCGATGATTCCCCCCCCCTTCCCCCCCTCCCTCCCTCGAATATCCCGTAAAACTCGTCAGTGTGGTACCCGAAACCGCTCTTCGTCATTAGGCTGTGTACACTCTCACTCTGAAATATCAGCCTTGTCAGAATAATTGTACTTTTTATTACAAGGGTCCTTGAAAAACTCGTTTTGTAAAACATGGGTATACAACACAGACGTGCCTTATAGTTTGGATAATAGGTAAGAGCATGTTCCTATGACCTGATGCTGTATCAGGCCAACCTTATATCAGAATTGGAAAAACACAATGAATCTGTTCTAAAACCCAAATTTAGGACTTGTATAGCACGAGAAAAAAGCGCAGACACGCGAAGCCTTTTAGGCGTGCCACATCAGCAAACCACGTCCGTGTAGCTGAAATGCTGTAACACACGTAGCACTATGTTATCGGGTTCAAATCGAACAGTGCTGCGATGAACCCGTCACTGTGCTGCGCGATGAACCCAATGCGCACAAACTTTGTCGCATGCTTTGTCAGCCACATCAGGCAATCACGCTTGACACGCACGGAAGATTTTTGTTTTGTCGGGTTCAGGGCTGCGAAAATCACCCTACGTTTTTTGTCACGCATCAAACCAGGAATTAGACAATAAACAATCAAATGAAGCCGAGATTGATGTGTTTGGTATGAGTCTGGTATGAGATATTAGGGGTAAAACATTCTCATACCTTGACTTTTAGGGTATGCCTGGGGGTCTTGCCCTGAAATTTCAGGGTTGGGGTATTTTGAACCCTATAAGTTCAGGATAATGGAATGAGTGCCCCCTGAAATTCCAGGATGAATATCGAGGCGTGCCTTGACGCGGATACGAACCTAGCTAGGACTTTCGTACGGGGAAGTGGGGCGGTGAAGGCAGGAGGAGGGGTACGCATACTATATGCATGCCCCTCCATAAGTAGCGGCACACAATTTACTTGGGCGTATGATACATCATTGTTAAGTAGTCTCCAGATGCTTTCCCCTTCCAAACACGATCAAGACTGCTTTGGGAAAACAACCCTAAGATAATAGGAGTATGATACATCATTGTTACCCTGAAAGTTCATGATGCTTCTGAAAATCTACCCTATTAAGTCAGGGCACTAGTGAAGGCTCAGGATGATGAAAAACCTAGCACAGGCCCTGGAGGTTGGCCTGATATGGTATGTGTCAAGAAATGAATCTCTAGTGTAGCATAATGTTTGCGGTGCACCCATTGCAGGCCTGCATTGCTTGTGTAACCCTCGACTCTCTTCTAATGCCAACCCTCTTTGCCCAATTCATCTCGCCGCCTCCTTGCTTAGCTAGCAAAACCCTGGCTATGGGGACTAAGTTCTAGTCCTAATTTTGACATGCTACCACAGCATGTAAGATCATGCCCTGTTGTTTCTTAACTACCCAATGGACCCACCGCGTATTTCTTGTTTCGTGCTGCCCGTCGCATGACCCTAGCACGCGCGGTTCTGTGCCAACCCCATGTAATGCAGTACAAGGATTCTAGGGTTACCTTATAAAGAGGGGGGTGTCTTCTAGACGGTTCTTGTTGCATTTAGGGGGGCACATGCATACATTCATAGTTTTGCTAGTTCTACCTAGGCCCCCTCGGTGACACCCTCCTCATTTGCACTAGTAGATCCAGGCTCCTGTACCCCCAAGTCTGGCACTCGGCAGGCGTGCCAGGCTGTCTGCCTGGGCTCGATCATGCGGTCAGCCTCGGCCGCAGCTCCGCGGTAGTTGGGCGTCTCCTGGTATAACACCTCCAGCCCTGTTGCCACGCCCACCTCCCTGGCGCCCTCCGCCTGCATCTCCTCCTCCTCCTCATCCTCCTCCTCCTCCTTCGGGGCCTGCCCAAGCAGGCGCGTGTTGTCGCCCGTGGTCCCCCCGAGGCACATGTCTTGGGAGACATTGGTGGTGCTCCTCTCGCGCAGGTGAGACATCACCAGGTGGTTCTTGGTCCCGTCCAGCTTGCTTGAAATCCCACAGTGGCAGAACGCATCAATGATGACATTCGTGGGGACATGCTCCCACGCCTCAGCAATCCACTACACCACCACATGGTGTGCAGGCCTCCTCAGGTTCCCTGCCGGTGGGTCAGAGGCAGGGGCAGAGAGCCGCTAGATACATCAAGGGGAAACAGGGGTGATATTCATGATCATCGACCGTATACTCACCATGTTTCGTCTTCAGGTGAATGCCTTCACGCATGAACCACCTCGCGTAGCGTGCTCGCATCGCGGCCTTGAAGCACCGGATCATAGCGACGTCCAGGCGTTGAATTTGGCTGCTGCAACCCGCAGGGATCACGGCCAGGGTGATGTTATGCGTGCGGTAGGCTTGAAGCATGCCCTGGGTGATGTGGCCTCGGTAGGAGTCTAACACCAGCATTGCACGCCTCGCGCTCTGGCCGCGCTTGGGGTTGAGATGGGGCAGCACCTCCATGTTCAGCCATGTCTGCACAGCGCTCTCGTCCATCCACCCGTTTTCATGTGCTAGGACCTCGACTCCTACTAGGTACAGAGGGAGAGGAGGGTTTAGGCCAAGAAGGACCGTCACAACATTCAAGCAAACCGTGTTCGTTTGGCTTACCTTCCGGAATGTCACATCACGGCGCATTCTTCACCTTGAACCAAACCCACGGGCGTAGCTTCTTCCCGAATGTTGTGCAGTCGAGCATCACTGTCAGGCATGTCTTCTCGTACCCAACAGCGCGGATCGGGACAGAGCGTGCTCCACGGTGGTCAAGCGTTCTCTCGGCTGGGATCTCAACAAAGAGAGGCGTCTGGTCCACGTTGATGATGCGGGCCAGGTCGATGTTGTGATACGCCCTGTTGATCCTCACGAATTTCCAGAAAGCTTTACAATCTTTAGCGCACTTTGCCAAGGAATGAACATGTGAGGTCGTGGCACGAATGCTAGGCACAAACAGTCCATGTCCCCATGCGGATTCCACCCCTAAATCCACTCACTAGACGACAACCGTTCGCCAACCCTGGTCTTCACACGCATGACCAAGTTCCAGCGGTCGCGGAAACGTTGACTCCATTGTGAGCTCGCGTTCCAATTCTTCTTGGGGTAGTGTTTCTTCATCCACTCGCGACTCCACTTCTGAGTTTCTTCCAACGAGATCGCCACCCCATGCGCAGTTCGCTGCACCCTTGTATATGCCCACTACAACCTGCGCGCTCCAGCGTGGGATGCACGCGATGGAGGCAGTGGATTTGGCCGAGGTCTTCTTGAGAGAGCCAAGCTCCTTGTAGCGTCGCGCCCACTCGCCCACGCTCCATGAACGCCTGGTCCTCTTGATACCGCGATTGCGTGGGGAAGGGGGACGGCAGTCGGAATTATGGGTGGTGGGGTCTTTAGGCCTAGCTTTCTCAAGGAATGACGGAAGGGGACCGGCAGCCTTCGCATAGTCATCGTCGCTGCCGAGCGCCTCGTTGACGACGATTTCGTCTTTGCCCTTCACGGGCTTCTTCTTCTTGTTCGCCGCACCCTTGCTGGAACCCGGCTCGCCGTCGTTCTTCCTCTTCTTCTTGATTTTGCGGCGGCGACCGCCAGCCTTGGCAGGGATCTTCACGACCTTGCTTTTCGCCTTGTCTGCAGCACTGTTGCGTGGTTGTGTTTTTTTAGTTGGGCTGTCATCGTCAGAGAGCACCACCCAGGTGCGTTTGCTGGGGACGCGTAGGCGATGTCGCAGCTTACTCTTCATCAAAGGGACGTCGTCTTCGGTGATGCGCCATGGATCGTCTTCATGTTCTTCGCCTTTGAAGAAGACGGCATGGTGGCCAGCATCAACACCACTCGTCTCCACACCGCGTCCGCGTCCGCGTCCGCCTCCGCGTCCGCCTCCGCCTCCGCGTCCGCGTCTGCGTCAGCGTCCGCGTCCGCCTCTGCCTCCGCGTCCGCGTCCGCCGCGTCCGCCTCCGCATCCGCGTCCGCACCCGCATCTGCCTCCGCTTCGTCATCCGCATCCGCATCCACGCCCGCATGAGCATCCACATCCGTCGTCGCTCCCACTGTCACATCCACAGCTGCACCCGTCGGGGATAACACCGTCGCTTTTGCCGCCAAACTAGCATCCTCACGATCCGCCTCCGCATCCGCGCCTTCGTCTTTGTCAGAGTCACCGACGCGCCACTCTTCCGCCTCGTCGCCAGAGCCAACCGGCTGATTCCACCCTTCGTCATCATCAATGCCGCAGCAGGTACGTCATCACCTGAAGCGATGTCGTCGTGCCCTTTCTCCGGCCAATCTTCCTTGCACTCGCCACCGTGGTCTCCATCGCCGTCGCCCTTGAAACTTTGAGGGTTTGAAGAACACATGTTGAACAACCTCCCCACAAAATTCCAGAAGCTGAGCAGGCTTGTAGGCTGAATGGGAGTGCGATGACCGTGCCACTGTAATGTGTTGGCACAACAAACTCCCCCTCATCGTGCTCTCATTCATCCCTTAGCTGCTCCCTGAAGCTGCCTCCCTTAGTTGAAGGACATGCCACACAAGGTGGCGCAGGTCCAATGCTGATGCTCTGCAAGCCGCTTTGTCAAAAAAATCTGCAGGTTGCTTGGTAGTGTTGATGTAGTGCAAGGAGACCGTGCCCTTCTTCACCTCCTTCCTCACCCAATGCCATTTGATATGCATGTGCTTGTTCAGCCCATGGAGCACAGCATTGCGAGCCATTGCAATTGCTCCTTGGCTGTCACAAAACACAGGTGTAGGACCCTCTTGCTCCTGCCCCAACTCCTCAAGCAACCTCCTCATCCAAACCACCTCCTTCACCCCATGAAACAACGCCATGTACTCGCTCTCCGTTGATGAGTGAGCTATCTCCCCTTGCTTCTTAGACTTCCAGCTCACTGGAATCCCTCCAAAACAGCATACATAGCCACCATGGGATGTTGCATCACTGATGTCACTTGCCCAGGTAGCATCGGTGAAGCACGAGAGGTACAAGTGTCCACGCCTTGCAGGTGCACCGGTCTTCGTGCTCACCTCCTCCACTCCCTTTTGCTTCAGCTGCCCATGCACTGAATATTGCAGCCCCACCCTTGAGGTTGCCATGCAGTACCTCACCAGCCTCTCTGCTGCATCAAGGTGCTCTTGAAGGGGCCTAGACACCACACGAGCTAGCTGCAAAACCGCGAATGAAATATCGGGGCGAGTGTTGATCGAAGCATACATCAAGCTCCCCACCATTGACTGAAACCGACGCTGCAACTCGGGCTCCAACACCTCACCCTCTTATTCATCAAGGTGTAGCTGAAACCTTGAGGGTAGAGGAGTCTTCACACTCCTCCCTTACTCTAGCCCATACCTTTCCCCCATGGCTGCAAGGTACTTGTGTTGGTGAAGCCTCAACCATCCCTTCACCTCGTCCCGCTCCACATGAAGACCAAGGTAATACCCCACTGGTCCAAGGGCCTTGCATTGAAAGGTCTCCTTCAGCTTCCTTTGCACCTCCTTGATCCTCTCCAGGGATGGAGAGAAGAGGAGAATGTCATCGACGTAGACAAGAAAAAACACCTTCTCCTCCTCCCCCTCAGTCATGAAGAGACTCTCGTCGCACCCGCTGACTTTGAAGCCAAGAGCCTCCAACGCCTCCACCAGCCTTGCATACCAGCACCTTGGAGCTTGTTTGAGGCCATAGATGGCCTTGTTGAGCCTGCAAACACGTCCGCTCCCATCGTCGTACCCCTCTGGCTGCTTCATGTAGATCTCCTCATCTACCACGCCGTAGAGGAAAGCCGTCTTCACATCCATTTGCTCCACCTTCCAACCACAACGGCAGCGGCTGCTAGCAACACCCGGAGCGTAGGAGCCTTGGCAACAGGAGCAAACACCTCCTTAAAGTCAACCCCCTCCCTCTGCTGGAAGCCCTTGATCACAAGTCTTGTTTTGCGCCTCTCCAACTTCCCCTCCGCATCGGTCTTCACACGTGATATCCACGTGCAATCCAATGCCTTTCTTCCCGGGGGCAGATCAGTGAGGGTCCATGTTCCATTCTCCATGAGGCTCTGAAACTCATCCTCCCTTGAAGCCAACCAAGCCTCTCGATCATCTCCAGCAAGTGCTTCCTCCATTGAAGCCGGTTCATGAGGTAAGTTGACACCGAAGCAACAAATCTGCTCCATTTCTCCCTCGGCTCCCTTCTCCTCATCATCTTCCTCCTCCTGGACCAGCAATGCCTTAGGACCCCCAAGCCTTTCATACTTGAGGAAATCCCTTGGGTGAGCAGCTCTCTTGGGCCTCTCCTTGGCTGCACCCTCCTTAGCTCCACCGCGGACAGCACCACGCTTCCCTTGGGTTGTCCGCCTTGGTGGAAGTGAAGGGGATGGTGTAGGCTGCTGCACCTCCTCCCCGACATCACCTCTCTCAGCTACAGGGGCCTCCTCTTGCTGCAACACTCCCTCCACCTCTGCTATCTCCCCTTCAGCACCTCCCAAGTCATGTGACACCTCCGTTACCTCTGAAGATGAAGACAACTCGATGGGAATGAGGAGTGGGTCATTCGTTCCCACCTCTATTCCGAGCGGAATGGTGACCTTGCTCCTCCCTCGCTCCAACCACTCCTTGAACATGAGCCCCTCCATGAACTTGGCATCTCTGGTGGTGAAGATGGTGTTGGCTTTTGGGTCCCATTTGAGCCACCCCTTGCTCCCTTGTGCAAGTCCCAAATGAACAGCCCACACCGCCGCCACTTGAAGCTTGTCACGCTTCTCCTTAGGGACGTGCACGAGTCCCATGCACCCGAAGACTCGAAGCATATCCACCAGGGGCTTCTTGCCTCTCCACTTCTCCATAGGGACCCAATGCTGCCCTCCCACATGAGTCAATACTCGGTTCTTGATGACGGTGGCATGGCGAATAGCGAGGGGCCAGAATCGTAAGGGTAGACCCGAGTCTACCAACATCGTTCTCCCACCCTCCATGATGGTCCGGTTCGCTCTCTCTGCCACGCCATTGGATTGAGGAGTGTAGGCCGTGGTGAGCTGCTGCTTGATGCCGTGCCGCTTCAGCCAGCTCCGGAACTCCGCTCCCAAGAACTCCCCACGACGGTCGCTACGAATCGCCTTCACCCGCTTGCCGCTCTCTCGCTCCACCAAGGGCAGCCACTCTTCAATGATGACCCTTGCAGCATCACTTTTCTTTGCAAGTGGAAAGGACCAGGCAAGCCTTG